AATAGGCGGAGTACTACGTAGTAGTACTAGTAGTACTATGTTATACCTATACAGTAGTTTTCAATCAAGCTGTTTTCTGTCACAAGTTACAATTCACTTTTATCCGGAATTCTGTGCCATACTTCAACCAAGATGTTTTATCTAAATCGGAGATTTTCCAGCTTAAAGTGGTCGGTTGGCAGTGATTTTGACGGCTTAAAGTGGGGACATTTTGTAACACTGGGTGGATAAATCCTGCGTCGAAGTAGTATGCGAAGTGCTGATTTTCCGGAGACTTGACCAATCAAATCACTCCGGGTGAAGACATTTTTGCATTACCGAATAAATATATAATTTAACCAATAAGCGTTGGATAAAAATACAATGTTCTGAGACAATCCGCAAATCTACTACTCGAACTGGCCCTCAAACAGCATGCATGGCTTCCACGCTTGGCCGAAAGAGTTGGCGAGGCTGAGTCGTGCATTCCTCAATTTTCTCCGATGAAAGTACCATCGTCGCTTGCTATCGCTGCCGCGTTCGCCGCCTCATCCGTGGCGGCGCTGGACGCCAAGTTCTACGGCATCAACTACGACGCCCGTACCACGATCGACGGTGGGTGCAGGGATTTCCTCACGATCGCCGAGGACTTCAATGTTCTCAGGCGAGTCACCGACTACGTTCGCATCTACGGGATGGACTTTAATTGCTCCAAGAGCGTGCTCGAAGCCGCCCGCGACAACGCACTCAGGGCATCCCCATCGGTGCGACAGTATAATCAGACTGTAAAATACCGTTTTACAGTTCCTGTATTTTGTTTTTTGTCAACCCCAGCGGTAAAACTATAAAATATCCGAATAACGTTCTTATCCGGAAATGAACGCCTGGCGCGCACGTTTGTGCGTTGGCGCATAAATTTTGACTTTTTCCTTGGCCAAAACCTTTGCTTGTTTCAACAGAACAAATTCCTTGGCAGTATCGGACAAACCAGTAAGAGGTACCGTCATGAGTGACAACTCAGCTTGCAGCAGCATAGCATTTGCCCGGAGAAGCTGAGCATCAGCTACTGTCTTCTGCACTTCCGACCCGCCATGATGCCGCGCGACGCCTTCAGTTTCTTCGATGCTTTCACTCCAAGCGGGCGTTGACGGACATCGTCGTCGGAGACAATGTCGTCGTTCTCGTCTAATTTCATGCGCTTTTTTGCACGGTCATTGCCAGGCTGTTGGCTGCGCAAGTCCTGCCACTTTGGTACGGTGCGCAAAATTTCCCAGGCATGCAAAAACATGAAGCACGACTGCTTGCCACGTGCATCAGCCTTTTTCGCGAAAAGCTCCTTGGCACGTCGCACCAGCTCGGCATCTCCCGGCCCATCACTCTCCCCGCTTGTAAGCTTGGACCTCACCGTGGCAAAACATCCCACGAACTTGTTGCATTGATCCAGGATGGTGGCCCAGCGTGACGACAACGAGCGCCCAGAGCGTTGGATTGCGCCGTCGGAGTACTGATTGAAGTTGGTTTCGATACGCGACCAGAATTGGTCTGACTTCTGACTGCTACCCTTGGACGCATCTTGAGAGATGTTGCTCCATGACCGGACAAGCTGGCAGTCTTCGTCGGTCGTGAAGTTGAGCCACGGACGGCCTTGGCTGATTCCATTTCTGAACCAACTGATTGTTGACTCCATACGCACATGATTGGACAAAATTATCCATTGATAGCATGATATTGGCAAATTCGTCAAAACTGTATTTTACAGTCGCGACTGTGAATCTGGCCGATTTGCCGTCTCGCGGTAAAAATTTACAGTTTCCTTCCTGTATTTTACAGTCGCCTGGTGGGGTTGTCAAAACTGTAAATAATCCGGATAAAACTGTAAAATATCGCACTGGTGGAATGCTCCCAAGGTCTGGCTCGGCCTATGGAGCGAGGTCGCGATCGACTCATTCCCGTCGCAATATGACGCCTTGAAGGAGCTCGTGAATGATGATACCAAATTGATCAACAACGACAACATCCTCGGCATCCAAGTGTCGAGCGAAGCCTTGTACCGGTACTACGTGCAAGGGGCGGGAAAGACGACTGGTAGCAGCGACCGCCACGGCATCAAGACCGTCCTCGGCCACCTCAAAACAGTGCGAAGCTACCTCCGCGACCTCAACTTAGCGTTCCCCGTCGTGATCTCCGACATCATGGACATGTACACGAAGTTCCCATCGTTGTACGACGAGGTGGATGTGGTCGCTGTGAACCAGTTTTCGTTCTGGGAGAAC